TATTTATATTTTTAATACAGTTTACATCATTTTTATAAACATAAATTTTAAAGAGAAGTTAGTTAAATTCACTTAGTATTGTTTGGCTTGTATCTACCCATTGAGGTTTAAGACTTCAATTGATCAGTCTGTTATTGGAATATGTGCATACTGTGCGTGTGCTTCGATATTGTCTTGATTCACAAGCTCTTTGTAAGCAATGATGGATGGTGGCTAGCAGTGGAATCCAGGATGCACGTTTCGTCCTATTTGTCACTGGTGAGCTGGATGTACCTGCATCTTAGAGTTGATGTTCACTCAGTATTGTTCCCTTCAAAACATATCGCGTTACCCAATTCACTACTGAGTCCGGATAGCCACTAGCTTCTATAATACCATATAGCGAATATTAAAACATTTTGTCTTTTATGTGTCATAAACAGATGACTGAAATTAAGTAAAGTAGGATAATGATGATGATTATGATTATGATAGCAGTAATGCTCTGATAATAATGATAACGCAATAAATATTCCACTTGACAAACCAATTTACGATTTATGTTGATTTTATAATCTTTGAAAATAAATAAATGACTTTATTTTTCATCCCTATCTTTAATAACTTAAGTATCAAAGGAAATGATAATTTTAACCATATCTATGTTTTCCATGAGAGATGATGAGATAAGTAGAAAAAACAAACACTGATGAAGGGAATTTTATGAAAAAGAGAATATTTCATGCGTATAACAAAATTATTCATTTATAATAGAGGATATGAAATCATATTAAACTGAGTCGTGGTAAACATTCTATCATTTAGACCGCAGGTAACTACAGTGAAACAAATCGTGTGCAGTTTACTTCATTAAGAAACAGAATAGAAACTTTTTCCAAGATGCTGATTATAGTCCCGTAAGACAATGTATTATTAAGCTATTGTTCAAAATATTTTCTTTAAGTAAAAGTTATAGGATTTATAAACCCCGTTACCCCCTGAATGTAATGTGATTACCTAATTTATAAATCGATTCATACTGCTTGTAATTTGTTTTTGAAGTAGTGACATGTTGAAAAGCACTTCGGATGTAAATGTTCTAAAATATGATATTTTTATTGTGTCGTTCGATAAAAGTTGAATAAGATGTTATATATCTGCAGTACTAAAAATTACACCTTTAGCCATATTTGATTCTTTTGAGTAACGTAACGTACGCAAATCATCAAACTGCATCACGAGGCAAGCCCTAACATGGAACCCTGAAGGGAAACGGAAAAGAGAAAGGCCAAAGAACACATTACGTCGGGAAATAGAAGCAGACATGAAAAGGATGAATAACAACTGGAGTAGCTGGAAAGGATTGCCTATGACAGGGTTATATGGAGAATACTGATGAGCGGCCTATGCTCCTTCACGAGGACTAACAGGCGTATGTAAGTAAGTAATTTGAAATTTACAGAAATAAATTTCATTTTGTTTTCAAATATCAGTCGTACTGTATCAATAGCGACAAAATGTAGCTAATCAGATTATTGAGAAATTTATGTTGCAGTGAACGTGATGGAGATCATTTGAAATGATTTCAGAGAAATATGGGAATCTGTGCCAAACAATTAGAAAATAGATTTTGATAAAAATCTAATCTGCTGTGTAAATAAAGAATGAAGTAACATCATGAACTGAGCTCATTACTCAACATTAGTCACAAACGATTATGTTTCAGTCTGTTTGAAGAATTTCAAAGCCTTCTGATCACCATTTATCTAACTATATATCTGTCTTCTTTATATTATTGTCGTTCATTGATGTTGTACAAATGTTTGTGTCAGTATTTGTAACTATCAAAACATACCCGTTTCACTGTGTTAGATTTCAGATTATTAAATAGACAAATGTTGTATCATTTTCTATTATTTATATTTTTTTAAGGTCTCCGTAGAGTAAACAAAAAAAAGGTTTTCAAAACAATATGATAATAGAAATTTCAGTTATGCCATATGTTTCTCAATAATCACGGTTGATATGTACAACAATTGAACAGGATAACTTAAGAATACACATAATCGAGGAGTACAGATTATCTCCATATTACAATTTGTTAACTTCTGTTGGTTGATTCTATCAGCCGATAATTATTTTGACTGCTATATTAAAAAGGAAACATCTAGAATTTACCTTCTATTTCAAAATTTAATAAAATCTGTAAAGTTTTGAGTATATAATTTCAATAAAAAGGTAACTACCCAATAATATTAACTTAATGTAGTACCATAATTTTTAGTTTAGTATAGAACTCTCATCGGCGGCCTATGCTCCATTGGTAGTAATAGGCGTAAATATGTAAGTAAATAGAACTCCCGGGAAACGTCGTTTGGTAAATGAATAAATGTCTCTTTAGAATATATTCAAATTGTATTTATATCAAACTTACTTCAATGATGTTGTAAAACTATGACTTCTTTCACTCATATTCATCCATTAGAGTTTTACTGTGACAGATTTCGATACAAACGCTTTGACCTCAAACCAGAGAGTTGAAATTCAGTGACCTTGTCAAAAAGCATGACATAATCTATGCTAATGATGGACAGAAACTTGAATTTCTACGTGTTTAGAATTTTGCAATTACGAAGTTTCACAAGACTTTTGATGATAGGTCTTGATGGTAGTCGTTGGTGAGCACATGTTTAAAATTAATTAACACTTTTCTCATTACTTTCTTACTTCCTTACGCCTGTTACTCCTCGTGAAGGAGCATAGGCCACTCACCAGCATTCTCCATACAACCCTGTCATGGGCAATCCTTTCCAGCTACTCCAGTTGTCATTCATTCTTTCCATATCTAATTCTATTTCCAGAAGTAATCTGTTCTTTGACCTTCCTCTTTTCCGCTTCCCTTCAGGGTTCCATGTTAGGGCTTGCCTCGTGATGCAGTTTGATGATTTGCGTAGTGTATGTCTTATCCATTTCCATCGTCTTTTCCTAATTTCTTCTTCAGCTGGAAGCTGGTTTGTTCTCTCCCACTGTAGGCTGTTGCTGATGGTATCCGACCAATGGATGTTAAGTATCTTTCGTAGACAGCTATTTATAAATATTTGTACCTTCTTGATGGTGGTTGTTGTAGTTCTCCAAGTTTCAGCTCTGTACAGCAGAACTACCTTGACGTTGGTATTAGAAGTTCTAAAATATTTTCTCATTTTATTGTTTACTTCAACACCAAAGTATAGGGTAGATGGGAATCGTTGTTCTTCTAATTTCTTATATTCTTTTATTTATGATGAGTCCATCATATCAAACCATAAATATTTCAATAAAGAACGTACATTTTAACAATTTAGCAATTATAAATTCAAATTAATGATCAAAAGGAACGGGAAATGTATCTTTCAAATTACAATATATGAATTCAGAATTGTTTGTATTATTAAATAACTAGTGTTTTTAAATGTTGTATTGTGCAGTTAATACTGTTTTATAGTCTAATTTAAAGTAATTAAACGTAATATCAATTAAGAGAAATTATGATCCCGCCATTTATCTCATTGTTTGTTCGCATAAAGATTACATAATTCTGGAAATGTTTAAATTAAGTAAGAAACAGTGAAATGAGATAAGGATTTAATAAACTATTTAAACATACAATTAAAAAATAGTGAAAGTTATGAAAACATTTAAGGGTTTTATTGAAATGTGTTATCATTCGGAAGAATATTGGGAAATACAAGATAATGATTTGAATATACTTGTTTTGAATTCACTGCTTTGTATTATTAATTATAATCATTACTATTCTAATATAAATGAAATCAGGTAAAGCGCTTTGATTTCTATTTAAAAAGAACGTTTAAATATTCTTAAAGATATTGTAATAGTTAAGAAAGAGCTTCTAAATGAACACTAATTTGCAGACATGGTCTGTGATAGAATTTATTTTTTAAAACAATGAAACAAGCAAACATTTGTATTATGGGCAGCAAATACTTACCATCACATTACTGAGAAATAAAACTTCATAAAAGAAACCCATTTGTTATTTACTTATACATAATGTGTTTGAGACCACTATGTGGCATCAGAGTCCCAATCTTCAACATCTGATCGATTCAAACCACTTGACTTATCCATAGGTTCATTTTGAGCTTGTCCGTATAATTTATCCAAATCTATCAAGATTTCCTAATATCCTACTTCTCAAAACAACAGATGCTCTTATCATCCACGAGACCAAAACAGAACTGTGTGTTCAAAACAAGTTCGTCATATCCTTGTCGTTACCAAGACCTTGAACTATTATTATTATTATTATTATTTCGTAATTGAAAATATCCACCTCTCTCTTCAATTATTTCCCATATACCCATGATTTCATTCATAATTGTCTTCGATGTCACTTCATTTCATCTAATCACTATACTATCTTTAAAGTATCGGAACAACATTGTTTTAATTATTTATTATTATTGTTTTAAATTATCTTCATTTACATTATAAATCGTTGTTGACTTATAAAATTTACAAAACTTTTCATTTTTATAAACACGATGTTTTATTGCTATCATCTATATTACACCATGTAGTAATATAATATTTCTATTGCGTCATCATGTCCTTACGGAATCGCTACTTAAAGAATTTTCAGGTATGTATATACAACTGTACATCTTGATAATAAATCCGTTGAAAAGTAATTCCTTCGCTGAACTTTTTCTATATATTTAAATGGGAATTATTTCTTTTTTTCTGTAGAATCTTATTCGAAAATTACCACAAATCAAATGAAGGTGATTTCATAACTTTTGATGCTTAGTATTTTGTAAAACTTTTTCTTTCTAAAACTGATGAAATGGAGAATTATTTATTTCAATATTTTTATGAAGTTATTCATTCGCAGATTGACATAACATTGACGTTCAATCAACCAATCAGAATGCAGATCAAACCAACCAATGAAAATAAACTTTATACTGTTGTATTTTAAGTGTAATTCAATTAAATAAGATAATTCCACCTTTTGGAAAGTTTTCAGTTCTCATATGCATAAAGTATTCGTTTACATTATTCATTAGAATACACAAAGTCAAATAAAAGTCCTATTTCTTATTTAAAATAAAAAAGTCAGTGTTCGGATATATTGGTTCATTCAAAGATCCTGAGTAAATTTGCAGCGTAATACTGTGACTACATAAAAGTGATGGTCAAATAAATATGTGGGTAATTGTTATATCGAAGAGATTTATTAAAATGGAATTTAACATTTACATTATATCAACATTTATATGTAACTTAATTTTTGTACAATCAAATATGACACCAAATGAGTAAGTTGATTTGTATGCGTTATTGAATTATATTCATATTTCCCAAAGATATTTTTTTCAAATTTTATATTGAGTAACATAGTCTTTAAAGTCGATACAGTTCATTTTATAATCAAAGTACTGAATTTGTTGACATAGAGACTAATCCAAATAAAATTAATTTTTTTGGAACTCGTTTACATGTAAATCAAATAGATTGAATGTTCTACCTTAAAATCATTCAAAATTTTAAAAGTCTTCATGATTTTGATCTTCTAAGCTTCCATCTAATATTTTAAGTGACATTTTAAATAATACTTAGATTATTATTGTTCATATCAAATCGATTTATGGACGTTTTAGGCATTCATTTTTTCAACTAGTTATCCGAATAGTAAATGAAATGTTTCACAAATTTTTACTTGACCAAGATTTCATTTGCATTATTATTTAAGGAATAGTGCTTTGGTTTTATCAAGGGAAAATATTTATAATAACCTACACCATCTATAAAGATTGACTGTTTTTACATTTGTTTCTAAAATACCCACTTGTTGTCAAGGTATCTTCATATTTTGGTTCTTATATTATTCATAATAATGTTACTTAAATAATGTAAATAAAATTTGTTCTTAGTATAAAACTGTTCATGATTTTTTTATTATATTAGCATACTGTATATAAATATCATTCCAGTACTATTGAGCAAAACATGCCTACAACTAAGGGCATAATATTATTACTTCATTCAATGAACGTAAGATAATTGCTACACAAGAAAAAGTAACCAGTAGTTTCACAAAAATGATCATTAAAGCGACTAAAGGATCTAAGTATGATTGTTTTAAGTGACTATGTACATTTAGAGTGAAAACAACAACAATAATAAAGACTTGATTTTTATCAAGCTTTACGACTACATGTACACAATAATCAAGCTTTTTATGTACAAATAAAAATTAGTTGAATAAATTGAGAATCTATACAAACAATCCACTGAATCATAACGCCACAAAATCTTATTCTTTCTATGCGATGTAAAATGTTTCGCTCCCCTTTGTTACCTTTCTTACCTGAACTTTCATTTAGTTGACACTGATTAATTTTCATAGAAACATACCCTGAGAATTATATGTGTAATCAGATTGTTAGAAATGTGTGACTCAATTACATCACATTTTTTCAGATCATCTCCTTCTTCTCATAGTTCTATCGAAATTTATAAAGAGGACTAATGGTTTTACAATATTTATATTTACAATTTATTAAGTTTATTGTGTTCAAACAACTTTCGACAATAACTAATCTCAAATTAGTATAGCAAGAATATTTATTGTTGTTTATGAGCATTTTATATTTGATTTTCTATTGTGATACTAAATCTATATTTGATCCAAAATTGTTTTTAGGAACATATGAATAACAAATCAATGGGATACATAAGTGTGTAATGTGTGTGATATAAGTTGTTATGCTGCCATATCAAAAAATAACCCCCGAAATTAATAGTGTTCTTCAAAATATATGTCTATAATGAATACAATTAAAGTAAACAAAGAAAGTGATTCGTAGTTAATATCGAGGTGTCAATTTCATACCATAAGATTTTACTTATTATCATTACTCTGTATTATAGATGAAATATTCATTTTGAAAGTAAATAGTAGTACTAATTTTCGTTAAGAAAACTAAAGTTTATTTATATTATTGTGACTAAGCAGTGGATCTCTTTTAATTTGTCAATTATTCACTGTATATGTGTAGTAAATGAACATTCAGGTGGGGATAACCAATTTATAGCGCATTTATAAGGTATAAAAATCATACATTAAAAATTTTATCTGCAAATCTTTCATCAGTTGTCCTTTAAATTCTTTATGATACTTGGAATTTTGTCTTTATTTTAATTCCTCTATGTTTGTTTTTTCAATTCTCTTCAATTTGATCTTCTCAATCCTCTTTTGATGGGAATTTTGCTTCTGATTTGTGTTACCTACTACTTATATCTATCAATATAAGTAGCATACAACACATATTTACATTATTCAGTTTGTTTAGTATAGTCAAATTATGATTGTAATAATTCATAAAAAGCAAATCAAATTAGATATGATTTATTCCGAACAAAGATATATGAATCATTGTCAATTGTTATAATTAGGTATATATACGTATAGCGTTATAAGCAACGAGAATACCAACAGTTGTATGTCAATATTCAATCATAACTTTGTTTGATGTTGTAAATCAATACAATGAAAATAGAGCTGAATAAATGAGAAAAAGAATACAAATATTCAAAATACAAAGACATGATAAATAATAATTTATGGATAAGTAAACACTTCACCTATGGGAAATTTACACTCAAAAAAAATCACTTAAATATACAATCTCGAGGTGTTAACAAGATAAAAATGGATAGTGGCTAGCACTGAAATCCAGGACGCGCGTTTCGTCCTATATGGGACTCGTCAGCTGGATGTGCCTGTATTGCGGAGTTGGCGTTCACTTCAGGACTTGAACCCAGTACCGTTCGCTTCAAACACTATCGCCTTATCCACTTAACTACTGATTTTTGATAGCCACTTGCTTATGAAACAGGCTGGAATTTAAATTCACTTGGTATCGTTCACTCGAATCTTCCAAAAGGATGAAACGCACATCCTGGATTCCACATGTAGCCACTATCCATCTTTGTTTATAATGCTTTTGAATTAAGGCAGTATCGTGGCAACACGCACGGTATGCACATATGCCAATAAGAAAATGATCAATTGCAGTCCTAAACATCAATGGGAAGATTCAAACAAACAATACCAAGTGAATCAATGCTAACAATATAATTTTCACTGAAATAAGCTCAAAAATTAATTGATTTTTTCCATGTAAGAAAGATGATTTTAGTAAGACTCTAAATTTGTGTTGCCATAGAATTGTGAACTTCGTTCGTCACTAATGTTAAATAGAAAACTAACAATTTTATTTCAGTTCTTATGCGACATTGCTGGACATTAGAATCTGAAGTTCAATCTTCAAACTCTCTCTTTAACTGACAATATGTATGACTTACATATATGTGTATGTTTATACATATATTATCAGAATAACTCTTGAAGAACTCAAAACAGTTATTCTCTTCAATGCAACGAGAAAACCAAGTTTTCCGAAATCGACACAATCTTAACTCAACCCTTTGTGATTTTGTGTAAGAGTTATTTAGGATGAGCACTTTACTTTTGTTGATACCTTGTCCACATAAAAATCAAAATCTCCTTTTGTCTGTTATGTAAATGAATAACTGTCAGTTACATAATACCAACTAAACTTTTAAGTTCTTTCATTTTCTTAACCTGTAAAATTCACTTTATAAGAAAGATGATTTAAATTATTATAATAAACTGGTTTGAAGTTTGTTCATCGCGATTATTCCTCAAATAAGCGTCAAGTTTTCACTATAGAAAAGAACATCTACTAGGTTTTCTTAAGAATTTAAATGTTTAAAACAATTAGTCCAGTTGATAAATTTCGATAATGCAGTGAGAAGACGAGGTTTATCAACATAATTCTGATAAACTTCGTCTTCTCATCGCATTATCGGAATTTACATATTCCTATCAATAATACAACCTTATTTTTCATACAGACTCAACCAAGCGTCTACAACTGTCAGGTAAGTAATTATAGACTATTTATTCGTTTATGTTATTTGATTTTATGCTTGATCATTTAAGGAAAAATAGAACTTGAAGGATCTACATTTGTACTAAACTTTCCACTTCAAAAGCATTTTATCTTCAGGAATTAAAAATTTATTTATGCCGGCTCAGTGATCTAGTTGCTTAAGCGCCTGGTGCGAGACTGATAATTCCTGGGTTCGAATCTGGTGAGGTGAGGGATCGTGGATGCGCACTGCTGAGGAGTCCCATACTAGGATGAAACGGTCATCCAGTGCTTCCAGGTTCTCCATGATGATCTAGCTTCGACTGACTCATGATTCCAATCAGTGAAACTTCTAAAATCTCCACAAAGCCCATTCCAATAATTTATTTTGTTTAAAAGTATTACTACGATGTAGTATGTACATTAAAAATGTCCATTGTTATGTAATTTCAATGAAATATACTTTATGTAAGAACTAAATAATAAATGATGGTTCATTCTAATATTTTTCAACAAAAGTAATCAAGTACATTAAGTAAATTACTCACTGGTTAAATGTCATAAAAGTATGAAGTGACTGAAGTTCAGTACCGTTAAACACCTGTCTATTTACTCCGGTTTGAAATTAAATTAAATTTTACGTATCCTATTGTTAGATTAAAATGCTCATAATACAAATTTCGAAATACGGAACTGATATTTATAATAGTATATTAGTAAAAATAGAATTTCTTTGTCGAAAGTGTCAAATTAGACATGACAATTATAATAGATGAAATGAATAGATTAATTTATGATCAAAATCGACAGCTTGTATGGCTTTTATATGAAATTTAATAATATTGCTCTACATTCAGTTTTTGAGGTTAATATAAAAATGAGCAAATTTCTTCCGTATAACCACTGAGCAAATTTTCTCCAAGTTGAAAATTGGTTCTTTTGTTTGGAATTTAAGGTTGTGTATTTAGATCAATTCTAACAAAGATAAAAGAAGTTATATGTAGTTCAGGTTAAATGCTAATTAACCATTTAATTAGCCGTCTTCACATAAAGTGTTTTGATTTGACACTGAGTGGATAGAATTCCATCATGGAAAAACTTGTTATTCATGTTAATATTTGTTTTATTTTTTACAGTTATATTACTTTTGTATTATAAATTCGGTCGTAAAAGATGTTCCTTTCAGAGTAGCTGGAAAGTTGTTGAAAGTCGTCAGCATACTTTAGTCTACTCGATGGAGATTTACTATTAACTACTTTTGCTTCTGAGTATTCAATACAGAATTATCAAAATTCAAGCACTATTCATTTCATTTCAAAACCTAGGCCATTTAGTACACTTAACGCTTGATAAAAGAA